GCAGCACCGAGTAGCGCTGCACCAGGAACCTGGGGGGGGCACGGAGGGGGGAACCGGTGAAGGCAGCAGCCCCCCCACCCCCCAACCATGGGGGGGGCGCCGTTGTTGGGGGGGGGGTGTCCCTCACCTGCCCCCACACACGTATTTCTTGACCAGAAGCACGGCGATGGCCGCGGTCAGCAGCAGCGCGGTGCCCACGGCCAGGATGGCGGCAGCGGGGCTGCGGGGGGCGGCCTGTGGGAAGGGGGGGACACCGTGAGCCCCAGTGCCCGCGGTGTCACCCATGGGTGCTGCCGGCACCGGCACCCACCAGTGGGCTGGGGCTCAGCAGGTTGCTGGTGCATTTCTTCTTCATGTCCGTCTCCTCCCGCGCCGGGCTCTCCCCTCCGGAGCATTTATCCCCAGGGATCTTCCGGTACCTGGAGGTGAAGGAAGCGCTCGGTGATCCCAGAGGAGCATCCCAAGGGATGCCCGGCCCCAGGGGGCAAGGGGATGGAGCCGGGTCTGGCCCCACTAAGGGCAGGATGAGCTGAGGAACGGATGGGGCCGTGCGGTACCCGCTGGTCCTGAGCAGCTCCCGGCGGCCGTAGAGGCAGAATTCCAGGTCGTGGCCCTTCAGCTCCGGCTGCTCCACGCACTCGGACTGGTTCTCCGGGCGGTAGTAGCCGAAATCACTGCGGGAGGAAGGGGAAAAGGGGATGAGACCCCCCCCCCCACCGCCTTGGGGGGACACAGTGGGGCTAAAGGAGGAGGATGCTGGTCTGAAAGGGGGATGGGAGGTGGGAAGAGGTGGGGGGGAGATGTTGGGAAGGGATGGGAAGACACACGGGGACGTGGGAAGATGCGAAGGTGGGACAATGGTGGAGGTGGAAAGAGTGGCGGAGGGAGTGGGAAGACATTGGAGAGGTGGGATAATGGTGGGAGGGGGGATAATGGTGGGAGGTGGGAAGGTACGGGGATGAGATGAAGCAGGGATGAGATGAAGCAGGGATATGATGACACAGGGATGGGATGACACAAGGATGGATGATGCTGGGGATGGGATGGCGCAAGGATGGGATGATGCAGGGAATGGGATGATGCAAGGATGGTATGACGCTGGGAATGGGATGATGTTAGGGATGGGATGACACTGGGGATGGGATGATGTTGGGGATGTGATAATGCTGGGATGGGGTGATGCGGGGACGGGGTGATGTGGGGACAGGGTGATGCAGGGATGGGATAAGGCAGGGATGAGTTGATAGAAGGATGGTATGATTTGGGAATGGGATGATGTTAGGGATGGGATGACACTGGGGATAGGATGACATTGGGGATGGGGTGACGTAGGGGATGGGATGAAGTTAGGGATGGGATGACACTGGGGATGGGATGATGTTGGGGATGGGGTGATGCAGGGATGGGATAAGGCAGGGATGAGTTGATACAAGGATGGTATGACGTTGGGAATGGGATGAAGTTAGGGATGGGATGACACTGGGGATGGGATGATGTTGGGGACGGGGTGATGCAGGGATGGGATAAGGCAGGGATGAGTTGATACAAGGATGGTATGATGTTGGGAATGGGATGATGTTAGGGATGGGATGACACTGGGGACAGGATGACATCAGGGATGGGGTGACGCTGGGATGGGGTGACGTAGGGGATGGGATGAAGTTAGGGATGGGATGACACTGGGGATGGGATGATGTTGGGGACGGGGTGATGCAGGGATGGGATAAGGCAGGGATGAGTTGATACAAGGATGGTATGACATTGGGAATGGGATGAAGTTAGGGATGGGATGACACTGGGGATAGGATGACATTGGGGATGGGGTGACGCTGGGATGGGGTGACGTAGGGGATGGGATGAAGTTAGGGATGGGATGACACTGGGGATGGGATGATGTTGGGGACGGGGTGATGCAGGGATGGGATAAGGCAGGGATGAGTTGATACAAGGATGGTATGACGTTGGGAATGGGATGAAGTTAGGGATGGGATGACACTGGGGACGGGATGATGTTGGGGACGGGGTGATGCAGGGATGGGATAAGGCAGGGATGAGTTGATATAAGGATGGTATGACGTTGGGAATGGGATGATGTTAGGGATGGGATGACACTGGGGATAGGATGACATTGGGGATGGGGTGACGCCGGGATGGGGTGATGCAAGGATATGATGATGCAGGGATGGGATGACGTAGGGGATGGGATGATGCAGGGATGGGAAGATGCTGGGGAAGGGATGATGCTTGGAACGGAGCCCACCAGAGGAAGTCCTGCAGCGTGCAGGGGCACACGGACGGCTGCTTGGTGACCACGTAGTCGCGGCCGTTGCGGCACACGGAGGCCTTGCGCAGCCGCCGGTACTGCTCCTTGTAGCCCAGGATGCAGCCGTCGCCGGGGTCGCCGGGATCGCTGGAGTGCGCCAGCCAGATGGTGTAGTCCTTGTCCTCACCTGCGGGCACCGCGCTCAGCGCCAGGATGGCACCACGGGGGTCCCCCGTCCCCGGCGGCACTCACAGGCCCTGCTCAGCAGCTCGCTGAAGTCGATGGTGTAGGAGACCCACTTGCGGAAGAAGAAGCTGCCGCGGAAGCCCCACACACTGACGGTCATGGAGCGGGCGCCCGGCTCCGACGCCAGCCCCGTGAAGAAGATGGGCTCCTTGGAGAAGGGGTACCGGTACCAGCACTGCCCCTCGTCCGTGGAGAACCTGCAAGGAGGGGGATGCGCTCAGCACCACCACGGGGCACCGCCGAGAGCATCCCCCGCGCCCATTGAGCCCCCCGTTACTCGATGGTGTTGATGGGTTGGCTGCTGTGCTCCACGGCCACGATGAGGCCGCCCGAGTCCAGGATGGAATAATGGTGCGGCCCCTCCAGCATCCGCGCCCACGTGTAGCCCCCGTCGTCGGAGATGTACACGTCGGGGGTCATCACCGAGATGGCCCCCCCCACGCTGCCTATGGGGACACACACACACACAGGGTCACCGTGGGGAGGAGCAGGCCGTGGTGCTGGGCTCCCTTGTCCCTGTCCCGGCGGGGTGGGTACCGTGAGCGATGACGATGCCGACGGCGTTGGGCTCCGAGAGCGGCGCCATGGGCACGTTGAGCTTCTGGGAGATGCTGTAGGAGGCGTGGATGTGGAGGCTGCACTGCAGGAGAGAGGAGAGCGTGGCCACACCGACCGCAGGGACTCCCAAGGGGGTGCTGGGAGCCACCCCAGGGCGACCCCAGCCTGAGCAGAGCTTGTCAGGCAGCCCTATGGAGTGACCCACATCCCATGGAGTGATCCACATCCCATGGAGTGATCCTCATCCCATGGTGTGATCCACATCCCATGGAGTGATCCACAGCCCCATAGGGTGACCCACATCCCATGGAGAGATCCACATCCCATGGCGTGATCCACATCCCATGAGTGATCCACATCCCATGGAGTGATCCACATCCCATGAGTGATCCACATCCCATGGAGTGATCCACATCCCATGGAGTGATCCCCAGCCCCAATGGCGTGATCCACATCCCATGGCGTGATCCACATCCCATGGAGTGATCCTCATCCCATGGTGTGATCCACAGCCCCATGGAGTGATCCACATCCCATGGAGTGATCCACATCCCATGGAGTGATCCACAGCCCCATAGGGTGACCCACATCCCATGGAGTGACCCACATCCCATGGAGAGATCCACATCCCATGGTGTGATCCACATCCCATGGAGTGATCCACATCCCATGGAGTGATCCACAGCCCCATAGGGTGACCCACATCCCATGGAGTGACCCACATCCCATGGAGTGACCCACATCCCATGAGTGACCCACATCCCATGGAGTGATCCACATCCCATGGAGTGATCCACAGCCCCATGGCGTGATCCTCATCCCATGGAGTGATCCACATCCCATGGAGTGATCCTCAGCCCCATGGCGTGATCCTCATCCCATGGTGTGATCCACATCCCATGGAGTGATCCTCATCCCATGGTGTGATCCACATCCCATGAGTGATCCACATCCCATGGAGTGACCCACATCCCATGGAGAGATCCACATCCCATGGAGAGATCCACATCCCATGGAGAGATCCACATCCCATGGCGTGATCCACACCCCATGGAGTGATCCACATCCCATGGAGTGATCCACACCCCATGGAGTGACCCACATCCCATGGAGTGACCCACACCCCATGGAGTGACCCACATCCCATGGAGTGATCCACAGCCCCATAGGGTGACCCACATCCCATGGAGTGACCCACATCCCATGGAGAGATCCACATCCCATGGTGTGAGCCACATCCCATGGAGTGATCCACATCCCATGAGTGATCCACACCCCATGGAGTGACCCACATCCCATGGAGAGATCCACATCCCATGGCGTGATCCACACCCCATGGAGTGATCCACACCCCATGGAGTGACCCACATCCCATGGAGAGATCCACATCCCATGGTGTGATCCACACCCCATGGAGTGATCCACACCCCATGGAGTGACCCACATCCCATGGAGTGATCCACACCCCATGGAGTGACCCACATCCCATGGAGAGATCCACATCCCATGGTGTGATCCACATCCCATGGAGAGATCCATATCCCATGGTGTGATCCACATCCCATGGAGTGATCCACATCCCATGGAGTGATCCACATCCCATGGAGTGATCCACAGCCCCATGGCGTGATCCTCAGCCCCATGGAGTGATCCACATCCCATGGTGTGATCCACATCCCATGGAGTGATCCACATCCCATGGAGTGATCCACATCCCATGGAGTGATCCACAGCCCCATGGCGTGATCCACAGCCCCACGGTGTGACCCACATCCCATGGAGTGATTCACATCCCATGCCGTGAACCACAGCCCCATGGTGTGACCCATAGCCCCATAGCGTGAACCACAGCCCCGTGGTGGACCTGCAGCCCCACAGTGTGCTCCACATCCCATGGTGCGCCCCACACCCTCATCATCTCTGCCGGGAGGCGCGGGCTGGATCCCGCCCCCCACATCCCTCAGCATCCCTTTGGCAGAGCCGAGGCAAGGGACCACCGAGGGGCCCCCACAGCAGCACCCACAGGGACAGGGCCCAGCCCCACCTCGTCCTTGCTCCGGGCCGTGGAGTCACACGAGGTGTTCTTGGGCTTGCGCAGGGGCACCCACTGCCCCCCCCGGTCAAAAGTGATCACGGACTGGATGGAGTTATCTGCAAGGGGTCAGGGCAGAGGCAGGGGGGGAGAAAGGGGTCAGGAGCATCCCAACACCTGCTCCCACAGCACCCCCCCGGGCCCAGACCCACCCTCGGAGAGGACGCTGGTGATGAAGATGCCGCGCAGGGAGGTGACGTTGGTGAAGTCGGTCTCCCCCCCCGTCGTGGTGTAAAGGTGCCGCTCCAGGGACTTGGAGTAGACGATGCCGCGGTCGTCCGAGGTGTAGATGGTGCCGAAGCCAGTGTCTAGGGCAGGGACACAGGGGTAAAGGTGATGGGGGGGCCAGGGGGGGTTGGAGGAAGAGGAAGGACCCCTGAAGGCCACAAGCGAGGAGCTGCTCAATAGGGATGTGCTCCGATGGCAATGAGCCCCATGCACGGTGGAGCAGGTCCTGGTGGCACTCACCGCCCGGCTCATCCACGTGCATGAAGACCAGGTCCTCGTTGGCTGCTAGGATGGAGTAAAACTGCTCGTGGCCCACGGAGGGCAGCTGGGCCATGTTCCAGCTCTCCCCTTGGTCCAGGGAGACGTGGATGCGCCTCGTGGTCCCCTGAGGGAGCCAAAGCATCGTCAGCCTTGCTCGTCCTCATGGGGATGAAGGCACAGGGTGGGGACAGGGACAAGGGGGACAAGGACCTGCTCTGTCATAACGGAGGCGAAGAGGAAGCGTCCCCCCAGGCCGAAGGAATAGATCTTGGTGCCGATGACCTTGAAGGAGGAGCCGAAGTCCGAGGTTTTCTTGAGCTCCAGGAAGCCCAGATCAGCTTCTTGAGGAGAAGGGAGCAGGGATTAAACAGCCTGGAGCTGCCTCCGGCTTCAGCAGCCACCACAGGGGCTGTTCCCAACAGTATCAAAACACATCCCCCCCCAGTATCCCGACACATCCCCCCCAGTATCCCCACACATACCCCCAGTATCCCAACACATTCACCCCCAGTATCCCAACACATCCCCCCCAGTATCCCCACACATACCCCCAGTATCCCAACACATCCCCTCAGTATCCCAACACATCCCCCCCCCCAGTATCCCAACACACCCCCCTCAGTATCCCAACACATCCCCCTCAGTATCCCAACACATCCCCCTCAGTATCCCAACTCATCCCCCCTGTATCCCAACACACCCCCCCAGTATCCCCACACATCCCCCTCAGTATCCCAACACATCCCCCCCAATAGCCCAACACACACCCCCCAGTATCCCAACACACCCCCCTCAGTATCCCAACACATCCCCCCTGTATCCCAACACATCCCCATCAGTATCCCAACTCATCCCCCCTGTATCCCAACACAACCCCCCCAATATCCCAACAAATCCCCCCCAGTATCCCAACAAATCCCCCCCCAATATCCCAACACATGCCCCTCCCAGTACCCCAACACATCCCCCCAGAATCCCAACACCCCCCCCAGTATCCCCACACATTCCCCCCCAGTATCCCAACACACCCCCCTCAGTATCCCAACACATGCCCCTCCCAGTATCCCAACACATCCCCCCCAGTATCCCAACACATCCCCATCAGTATCCCAACACATGCCCCTCCCAGTACCCCAACACATCCCCCCAGAATCCCAACACATCCCCCCTGTATCCCAACACATCCCCCCCCAATATCCCAACACATGCCCCTCACAGTATCCCCACACATCCCCCCAGTATCCCCACACATATCCCAACAAATCCCCCCCAATATCCCCACACATCCCATGCAGTGCTGGCTCCATGCACGGGCAGGACTTACTGCAGGAGTTGTTCAGGAAGGTGGTGAAGAAGATGGTCCCATCCGCGCCCCTGGGCAGGGAAGGGAAGAGGGGACATTGCACTGGGAGCAGTGGGATACAGGGGGATGGGGGGGGGCTTTGTGACCCCATGGCTGTGCTCCCCCCGCCGTGGGGGGGTCCCTCACTCACCACTTGGCCAAGCACACGGCTCTGTGGATCAGGACCCATTTGTGCCCGAAGTCCCTGGAGACCCAGAGCCCGTTCTATGGGACAGGGAGAGGGGTTTGGTGACCCCCCCCCCCAAAACCACATCCCCATCTCTGCGGCTCCAAGCCCCTTCCCAAGCAGGCATCCCCCCAGCACAGCATCCCTAGGGAAGAGGCCCCGCTTTGGGCCTCATCCTGGCTCACCTCGGTGCTGAGCGCCAGCAGGCAGTCGGGGTCCCGCGGGCTGTAGCTGAGCTGCACCAGCGGCTGGAAGGGCAGATCCGTCTGGATGAAATTCCTGGCAAAATCCAGGGAGCGGAAGATGCGGCCCCCGCGGCTCCCAGCGGAGACATCCCCGGTGAGGATCACCTGCACGGGGGGAGCCATGACCATGGGATATGGGGCACCCCAACAGCCCATCCCCACCCTTCCCATCCCCATTCCCACCTTTCTCATTCCCATCTTTCCCATCTCCATCCTCACCTTTCCCATCCCCACCATTCCCATCCCCACCTTTCCCATTCCCACTCCCACCTTTCTCATTCCCATCTTTCCCATCTCCATCCTCACCTTTCCCATCCCCACCATTCCCATCCCCACCTTTCCCATCCCCACCTTTCCCATTCCCACCTTTCCCATCCCCATCTCCACCATTCCCATTCCCATCTTTCCCATCTCCATCCTCACCTTTCCCATCCGCACCATCCCCATCCCCACCTTTCCCATCCCCATCTTTCCCATCCCCACTCCCACCTTTCCCACTCCCACCTTTCCCATCCCCACTCCCACATTTCCCATCCTCACCTTTCCCAGCCCCACCATTCCAATCCCCACCCCCACTTTTCCCATCCCCACTCCCACCTTTTCCATCCTCACCTTTCCCATCCCCATTCCCACCTTTCCCATCCCCATTCCCACCTTTCCCAACCCCATTCCACCTTTCCCACCCCCATTCCCACCTTTCCCATCTCCATCCCACCTTTCCCATCTCCATCCCACCTTTCCCATCCCCATTCCCACCTTTCCCAACCCCATTCCACCTTTCCCATTCTCATTCCCACCTTTCCCAACCCCATTCCACCTTTCCCATTCTCATTCCCACTTTTCCCATCCCCATTCCCACCTTCCCGGAGTTGCCGGGCCCGATGGCCACACCGAACTCGGTGCGGATGAAGGTGTTGTTGATGAGGCTGGAGATGTCCAGGAAGCTTTTCCCATAGTCCTCACTGCAAAGGAGGGAGCACACGGTGGGAAGTGGGAACAGGGATGCAGGGGGGGGCTCCTCCCACCCCTCCATAGGATCCCACTCACCTCCGGTACAGTTTGGATTGCCCAAAGCTCAGGATCACCTGGAATGCCGTCAGGATGAGCAGGATGGGGATAGGGGGACAGAGCAAGGGCACACGGTGGGGGTCACCCCATCCCGATCCCATTGTCCTCTATGGAAGTGGGGATACCCCCCCCCAACCGGGAGCCCGCAGTGCTCACCCCAGTGCTGTCACCAACCCAGGACAGGGACACGGAGCTGCTGAGGTCGTCGAAGATGAACTGAGAAGGATGAGAGGGGAAAAGGGGAGGAAAACGGGGTGGGAAAGTGGGAAAAGGGGGAGAAGTGAAGGGAAAAGGGGGGGAAATGGGGTGGAAAAGTGGGAAAAGGGGTGGAAAGTGGGAAAAGGGGGAGAAATGAAGGGAAAAGGGGGGGAAATGGGGTGGAAAAGTGGGAAAAGGGGGAGAAATGAAGGGAAAAGGGGGGGAAATGGGGTGGAAAAGTGGGAAAAGGGGCAGGAAAGTGGGAAAAGGGGGAGAAATGAAGGGAAAAGGGAAAACGGTGGGAAAGTGAGAAAAGCGGGAAAAATTAAGGGAAAGGGGGGGAAACGGGGTGGAAAAGTGGGAAAAGGGGGAAAAATGAAGGGAAAAAGTAGTGGAAAATGGGGTGGAAAAGTGGGAAAAAGGGGAGAAATGAAAGGAAAAGAGGGGGAAAACGGGGTGGAAAAGGGGGAAAAATTAAGGGAAAGGGGGGGAAACGGAGGGGAAAAGTGGGAAAAGGG